CTATGCAGAAATAGAAGTATAATGATGTACACCTGAAATTTATACAATGTTATAAACCAATGTTACTGCAATAAACAAAAAAATTAAAAAAAAACAATAATAAAAAAATAAATAAATTTTTTTCTCTTAAAAAAAAAAAAAAAAAGAATGGCACTAACAAGGATGAAGTTAATTTTACTTTCTTTAAAGTCCTGGACGACTAACCTAGGAATGGAAGAAAGCAGGGAAAGGGTAAGAAAGCCTCTGGATTTCCCCATTTATTATTAAACAGAATCTCTTTTTGTCTGAATATTTTCCTTCAATTACTAATTTATGTGGGGAGTTTCCCATCAAATTAACCTGTCTCTGAAGGAATGATGGCAATCTTCTCTCTAGTGGACCCTTGTTTTTTTTGAGTACCCTTGGATTCATTCATCCTACTTCCAATAATAGCTCTTGATTTTTATCTGTGGCTCTACCTCTCCCTATGGCTATGATTAAAGCCAACTTCAATCTGATTCTAGGATGAGAAGATGACAAGTTTGACAGATCAGACCCTGCTTGGCCACATGTGTAGATTTAGACAGTTGGACTGACATCATCAGTCACTGAAGTGCATAGACTAGATAGGACTTTTGGAAAAAAAAGACCTATTCTTTCTCATTGAACATGAACACAAGACGATATAAAACACCTGGAACCACAGGAGATGTCTAAGAATAGCTCAAAAATGAAGGAGGGCAGAGCAGATAAAAACTGGTTTCTGGATTTTGATGACTTGTTTGGCAAATCTTAGACTTTTCAGTTTTATGAGCTACTAACTCCTCCTTTTGGCTTAAGCCTGTTTGGGTTAGGTTTTCCCTCTCTTGCACCCAAAGAAATCAAGCTAGTATCTTCCCATTTAGCAAAAGCTCCAAGAGAACATGCTATTAAACCTACTTCTTAGGTTCCTAGATATCCAAGCAAAAGATTAGCATCTTGACACAGAATAAAATACTACTGAAAGTAATGTGCAACTCATCAGAAAATAAGATCAGAATCAGAGGGAAGAGATTTCTGTAATACAAGCTATGGAGACTGACAAGGATCAGGGTGGCCTGGCAGTACCTGAGAAAGTTTTCTTTTTTTTTTTTTTGCTAAGAAAGATTCACCCTGAGCTAACATCTGTTGCCAATCTTCCTCGTTTTTAGCTTGAGGAAGATTAATCCTGAGCTAACATCTATGCCAATCTTCCTCTACTTTATATGTGGATTGCCACCACTGCCTGGGTGACGAGTGGTGTAGGTCCACACCCAGGATCTGAATCTGTAAACCCAGACAGCCAAAGTGGAATGGGCCTAACTTAACCACTATGCCTTGGGCCGACCCCTAAAGTTTTTTTTTTTAAGTTGAACTGTACTTTTACTTTAATTCGTCAGGTGGTATTAAGAGGTGTTACAACAAAAAGTGAAACAACACTCAACATTGTATTATTATAGAGATGTTGCTGAAGACACAGTTCCTGAGATCACAAAGTATTTGCTTTATAAGAACTCAAGAAATACATTTACTTGAAGCCTCAGATCCAGACAAACTGTGTTCTCACCAACAACTGATTTGTTCTCATCACATCATAAATCTGATCAGATTTTTCTTTATATTGGCTACTAGTTCAGAGACAAATCTGTGGTGGAACGCTTAACACTAACATTTCCTTTTAACACAGTCCTTAACATTTTTGAAACACACAAATACAGTCAGCCCTCCTCCCAATAATATCCTAAAGAGTTTTTAGAATAAAGCTGAATAGAAATAAATTAGTGACGTAAATAACCTGCCTGGTGTGTTGGTAAAGCATCCACTGCTCTCTGTGTAACACGCAGAGTTCAGTTTCCTCTAGCAGTAATTAACTGGACAGGTTAAGCTGCTAACAATTTAAACAATTCTTAGCTTTTTCAGAATTAGCAACTCTGCGGTATTCTCAGTTTCTGCAGTTCAGAGAGTAAGACACAAACTTAAAACTACTTTTTTCTTGCTTTCAACTTTAGTTTAATGTAAATTAACAATATATTAAGTTAAAATGACTTTCTTATCCCTCCTCTTCTGCATGTTGTAGGGGGAAAAATCGAACAAGTACCATCATCATCTAGACATAATCACTCTCAAAATTTGGTCCAGAAACTTCATCTAAAACTTAAGAGATATTAGAATAGTTGGCACTGGAGAAACGTGTGGTGGGAATGATTAAACTCTATTATACCCTGGACAAAAGTGTGGATTCTAGACTAGATGGAGAATGTATTCATCAAAGAACTCACATGGCTGTATTTTTGATAATTCTTCCTTGGTCCATTTTCTGCCCAATACCATGCACAACAAATACAATATGGGTAGTCTGTGATGGCTTGTCTTCTAATGTGGCTTCTTCTACATAACCTCTATGAAGTCTGGTCCCACTACTTGATGCTGTAGAAAAATTATGATTCTAAGTTTACTATTTATTACAGAAATAGCATTTTCACAATACATTAAAAGAAATAAAGAAGTAAAAGGAGGATTTTGAAAAAATTTCACTGGGTTGTAGGGGATAAGATTTGTAAGATGAGGTATATTGATTGGCTCTGATATAAACTGCTGAAATGGACATGACACCAAAGCCAGAAACCATAAGGAGAAAGAAAAGACAGGAGGAAACACAAACTGAACACATAAAAATTAAAACCATTTCTATTAAAAACAATGCCATGAAGCAAAGATAAAAGACAAATGACAAACTGGGAAAAATTTTGCAAAATATGATGCACAATAAGTTAATTACCAAAGTATAGAAAGAGAGTTTACTAACCAAAAAGTGAAAAGACAACCATTCAAATAGCAAAATGGGCTAAATATAAGATAATTCACAAAACTAATAAAATGGACTAATGAACCTATAAAAAGATATCTTAGCACATCTGTTAGCAAAGAAATTAAAACAAAAAATGGGATAGTAAAACAATTATATCAGACTTAAAAAGTTTTGAAAGAATTTATTTTTTGATAATGCTCTCACATCTTCTGCAGGTACCATTCCCTCTTTTCTTTCTTTTAGTCAAACTTCTTTAAAGAGTTGTCTATTCTCACTGCTTCCATTTCTTCACCTTCTACGTAAGCTTCAAACCATGCCAACCTGGCTTCTACCCCATCAATCCATCTAAGTCACCAATGACCTCCATTTCACTAAATCCAATGGAGAATTTTCAGTCTTCATCTTCCTTGACAGTATGTTTCAATTGCTATGTTTTATTTTCACATGACTGCCTCAGTTTTGACTGCATTTGTGCTTTTTAGAAGTATAAAAGATATTTATTAACCTTGTCTGATCATTCTAAATGTATAATTATTCATTGATGAATACATTTCAACACTTTTATCTTAATAAAATTTCATTTATCAGGGCAGTAACTGTCACTGAATTTAATACATATTTAAAATACACTAAAAATAGAATTTGAATAGTCTATTTTGAATATAAGAGAAAAGTCAGATTCCCAAAAACGTGACGAACTATAGTAATATTATAACAATTACCTTTAGAAAATCCCAGTTTCTGGGTAACTGTTCTTGCTATTTTAGATGTTGTTGCATCACTATAAAGATATACTTCATCCACACTGTGCCAGTCCACGTGGTTTCGACTCAACTTGAAACTATGAATGGCTGTTGCAGAAAAGAAAAACTAATTTGAAGGTTCTCCAATACAAACTTCATTTGTGTGAAAAATTATAATACACAGATTTTGGAATCAATATTTGAACTTAGTCCAATAAAAACATATTTCACAGAAATACATATTGATGTGAATGAAGTAATGGATACGGACTTTATTTTATAAATGATTAACCGTGTTACAGGGAATGGCAACTTTCAGAACAATACGGAAATACTGGCTTACCTACCATAATTTTAAACTCTAACATGTAGTTAATATGTTTCAATTATTAAAGAACTACTTTCCCAGGTGATATGACCATTCCTTAGGTCTAAGGGACATACACCTTCAAAGTCCTCAATAGCTACTGAAAGCTATTGAAAGCCCTCAATAACTTTTACACAGAAACTTAAGTTCCATTCCTTCTGTTGATTTTATTTTTGGATCTGTGAAAATTTCACTCCAGGCAAGACAAAACAAGACTCAGAGGAAAAAAAATTACCTTAAACTGGGAAGAGAATAATCTAATTTATTAGAATGTAAGGTATTCTTGGAATGGATATTAAAGCCAATTATCACTGGGTATTGCTCACCATAACAGAAATCCAAAGTTGAAAGATGTTTTAATAAGAAATCAAAGAAATTTTTTTCTACTATAATGTTCAAATCAGTATGATTACTGCAATTCTGTAACTGAGGTATGCTTAGTGAAAATGAGCTCTAAAAAAAAAAAAAACCAAAAAAACCCCCCAAAAAACAAACCTATATGCTCCAGAAATACGTAAGCTCTGTAAGGCAGGGACTAGGTCTTGGTCATTTTGTATCACCAGAACCAAACACAGTATACCTAGCACAGTGCCTGACACGTATCATGAATTCAGAAATGTCTGCGGAAGCAACGGAATAAGAAAATTGTCATAGCACGTCCACCAAATTTGAAATCTGATAATTCTTCTATTTGAAGGACTTAAACTTTTCCTCTGGTATAAAGGTAAGAAAAATTCATATACTCATCTTCAGAAAACCAGGCACCTTCAAATCACTATGCCTAATTTATTTTCTTAAAATCATCCTTAAGCAAAATATTATCTCCCATTTATATGGAAAGACATGGGGGTACAAAGAGATTAACAGCTGGTCACTGGTAGAGTCTAACTCTTCTGATCTGAGGATGGGTTGAAAATAACCTCAAGCTAAATATGAAAGGACACAGCCCTGGTCAAGATGCAAGACCACAGGATATTTTTATGAAAACCTATTCTCTACTGGAATATATAAAACAGTAAATCTTTTTCAGGAAAGTGTATTTCTTAGTTATGTCACAAACATAATTTCAAACATTTATGAAAAATCAATTTATATTTTACTTACCTGCCAGGACACATTACTAACATTGAACGCAAGACCAAATACAATTAATGTAACAAACATTAATGATATCTTCAGTTCCAAAGAATACAATGCACAAACTCAGCTTTTTAAATAAAAGAACTTTTCATAAATTAAAAAAAACCTTTTCCAAGTGTTTAACAATTTACTTTTCTAATTCTATGTCTGATCCAAGTCACTATTTTAAGCCTTTTAATCTAATGTTTCTAAACCACATTTTTGTTAAAACAGTTTTGAGCACCATATGCTTAAAACACTGAAACTACAAGATCAAGATATTAAGAGAATAGTGTTAAGTCAATAAAATTTCATTCCTCCTTAAATCATCACATATTGTCTCTTAAGGTAAAACATCTTAATACTGGCAACATCCCATTACTGGACTATACACATTGTTTACAAATGTTTATACCTCTTATAATTAAGTAACACTAAGCAAAATAGCACAATGGATACATTTCTAAAAAACTAATAACTTCTATGCTTTAAATACAACTGAATGCTATAAACACAACTGAATGCTATAAGCCAGGAACATAACTACATGGAGAAATAAAACTACAATTACTGTACCTTGGGAACGCTTTCGTTTAAGACCTGCCGCATCTGTACTCTCCTTATATCCTCTCCATTTGAACAGGGAAGGGAGGGAGAAGGGAGGGAGGTGGTAGACAACTAAGAAAGCAAAAACACTGAGCTTCAAAGTAAATTTTAAATGAGGTCTGCTATTTTGCCTTTTTGTTGTATTAACTTTGAAAAATGAGTTGTATTTGACAAACATTATTCTACATGCTTTATTTATATAATTTCTCATCAAAAATCAGTGAAGCAAAACATTAGTTTAATAATGTTTATCAAATATATGCTCTACTTTTACTGAAAGGAAAAAGGCAAATGATATCTAAATTTATCAATTAAAGACAACTATGCGAGCACCATTTTTAATATCTTTACAAAGATAGAATAAAAACAGAACATGGCATTTTTGTATGTGAAGAGACTTACAAATCTCATCTTTACAATACTAAGGTTATTTACTTTCACCAAATTTGTGACTATGACATAGCCAACAGCTGACGTGCAAACTGAGAATGTAATAAATAACATTTTAAACATCTAATGCAGCTTTCCTGAAAAGATACCACAGTATACATCCCACTGGATGCCTTCTATTACTGAAGTGGAAATGGAGCCTTCCCACAGAAGCAAAAATTCTTTCTGCAACTTTGTTCAAGTTGTTAAAGATTTTTAAAAATGAAACTTTTCCCAAAAAAACCATATTGGAAGCTCTACTTTTAACTGATTTATTAGTGATAAAACAATGAAAGATTTATTAAGGATAGAATAATGAAAAAAAGTCATTAGTAAAAATGTATGCTGTGACATCCTGTAAGCATGAAACAGACAACATAGTGTACAGCCAGACACAGACCTGATATTTGGCAAATCAGTAGATAACCTTAAAGTCAACATTTTCCCTGTCAAATATTGCTAAGTTATACATTAATACATTTATGTTTTAAATAAGCAATTATTTAAAAATCCACTTGAAATTGAACCTTACAAATCAGTTTCTTAACAGTTCAGTTAATGAACCACAGAACCTTTATGATTTAGTTCAAATTTATGTTCTATACATTTGATTTTCATCCTCACTCCCTTCTACATTAATGTGACATTCAAAGGTTAAATACTGCTCCAATACAAAAATTTTAATTCCTGTTGTATAGTACTAGAACTATTTTAAAAATATATTGTATATACAGATGAAGTATATTTAAAGATTTGTGCAATAAAACTAATTGAGAAATGCTTACAAGGCACTTAACTATATGTACTAATTTGATGGCTATAAAAAACTATAGACTAGGATTAAAAGCTGGGTTGTAACATCAGGATTATAAAACATTTCATTGTCACAAAGCGGTGGAAAATGACAACTGAAGCAATTTTCTTCGCTGAAAATGTTTCTTCTTTCGTGTGCCTTCAGGTCAGTTATTGAGGAGCAGATGTACCATTTGCAGGAAACATTTTCAAACAAAAAATTCATTAGGAAAAAGCTAACATATCCAAGTAGATCAAACTGGCATACATGTGAGACTTGACTACTCAAAGAAACAAAACCTAGATTTTATAAATCTACTAGTAAAAGTAACATGAACCAATTCCCTTTCACTAAAAGAGAACTAATGGGAAACATATAGACTATCTGAACACACTTTAAAATTACGCAAACACTTTCAGAAAGCTAGTCAAGATTCAAAAATGAAAGGCTTTTCTTTCTAAAGGAATAGTATTAAAGAATTAAAAAAAGACAAACACCTCAATATACTAAAAACAGGGAAGTATATTTATTTAAAACATTTTCACAAAATTAAATAGATATGATTCTTTACCTTCTCAAATTTAATTCTTATTTTCACTTGAAAGCCATTTGCTTTATTTGTTACAACAACCTGTAGCATAGAGAGCTTAATTTTTTTCAACCCAGGGCACAGAATTAGGGGTATCACCATAAGTACAGTAGAGGCAAAAACGGTTTACCGTCAACCCAAACGGGGATCACTGTGAAAGGAGATTCAAGTGCCAGAAGGCATTCCTTAATTTTTTCCTTTTCTAAAATAAAGATTTAGTTAGGAATTCTTAAGTGGTGTTAGCAAGTATACAAAAACTCAAAATACAACTGAAAATGCTAACTTATTAAATGCTAACATTTAATTTTATTTATTTATTTATTTTTTCCCCCAAAGCCCCAGTAGATAGTTGTATGTCATAGTTGCACATCCTTCTAGTTGCTGTATGTGGGACGCGGCCTCAGCATGGCCGGAGAAGCGGTGCGTCGGTGCGCGCCCGGGATCCGAACCCGGGCTGCCAGCAGCCTAGCGCACGCACTTAACTGCTAAGCCACTGGGCCGGCCCCGAAATGCTAACATTTAATAAAAATTCTTTTATATAGTAAAGTCTTACAAAGCACTGAAAAAGATTTAAAGCACTAAAAGTATTTCCAATAAATTTCCTTACTATAATTCATCTCAAAGAAGTTTTCTTTATTATATAATTCTGAAAGCAACAGAGTATGTCCCTACCCCAAAAAAGGGGTAGCTGATGACATACCAATCTCTAGAACAGAACAACTCCTAACTTTTCCCTGCGTAATAGCTGGCAACCTGGAGCAACACAGCTTCAGAGGAAGCAGGCTTGCGTATCTCACACCTGCCAACTGTGAGAAAACTGGCCATCTTCTTGTATCTCAGAAAATTTAGTTAGACACATTTATAAAAATTAAGTAGTAACTAAAAGGTAGAAGGTGGGAATCCTCTTAGTCACCACAGAGAGGGAAAAGGAAAGCCGGTTAGAAGGGGTCAGCACTCCTCCTCTCTCGTCTCCTCTGCTCCACACCTTTTTGACTTCTGAAATTCTGTAATCACAGTGTAGGACAGCCTTATCCAGCAACAGTGATAGGAACACACATTTACACGCCAAATTGTTAAATGTTATAAATCCTCACAGATCCACCAATACTTATGCTGTCATAGCACCCCAAATTAAACAGTAAAAAGTCCATTTTTGTACTTTCAACCTGTGACCTGATATTGATAGCATGACTCTTACAGGCAGTATATAGTTGGGTCTTGGAATCTCTGCCTTTTAATTAGAGTCTTAGTTCACTTACTTTTACTGCAGTTACTAACATGGGTGAATCTAGGTCTACCATTTCCCATTTATTTTCTCTTTGTTCCATCTGTATTTTGTTTCTTGTTTCTCTTCTCCTGGTTTCTTTTGGGTTAATTAAATATTTTTTATTATTTTATTTTAATTCCTCCATGGCCTTTTTAAATAATTTTATTTATTTATTTATTTCCCCCCCAAAGCCCCAGTAGATAGTTGTATGTCATAGCTGCACATCCTTCTAGTTGCTGTATGTGGGACGCGGCCTCAGCATGGCCAGAGAAGCGGTGCGTCGGTGCACACCCGGGATCCGAACCCAGGCCGCCAGTGGCGGAGTGTGCGCACTTAACCACTAAGCCACGGGGCTGGCCCATCCATGGCCTTTTTAAAAAAATCTTTTTATCATTGAATAAGTTTAGACTTACAGAAAAGTTACAAAAATAGGACAGAGAGTTACCATATATCCTTCACCCAGCTTCCCCTAATGTTAGCATAACTATAATACAATTATCAAAACTAAGAAATGAACACTGGTACAATACTATCAACTAAAATGTAGACTTTATTCAGATTTCTCTAGTTTTTCTACTAATGTCCTTTTCTGTTCTAGGATCCAATCCAGGGTACCATGTTGCATTTTACTGTCATGTTTCCCTAGTCTCCTCTAAACTGTGACAAGTTCCTCAATCTTTCCGCGTCTTTAATGACCTTGACACTTAAAAAAAATTTCAGCTTTATTGAGGTATAATTGATAAATATGACAAATAAAATTATAAGATATTTAAAGTGCACACTGTGCTGATTTGATATACTTACACATTGTGAAAGGATTCCCCCTGTCTAGTTAATTACCACCTTGACATTTTTGAAGAGTACTGGTCAGTTATTTTGTAGAATGTCCCTCAATTTGAGTTTATGTGATGTTTTCTCACGATTGAACTGAGGTTATGCATTTTTTGGCCAGAGTGAGGTACAGGACTAACCCATTTAGTTCACCTGTTTTTTACTGATTGCTGCTTCGATATTAAACTATAAAATGATGAAACGCTAATCTAGTACTAAGTTTAAGTATTTACAGTATTACTTATTTGAAGGCCTCATTTTATTTGTACGATTCATCCCAGTGAAACTCTAGGCTCTTGTTAGCCTGCTAGATAAATGTTTCCTAGCCTAGGAGGTGGCGTGGGAAGAGAATCAATTTTCATTTTAATTCTCAGAGAAAATGAAATTTAGATGAAAAGTATCTACATCACAAACAGTGGTTATGTTTTGGGGGGTTATCTTTATTTGTATGCTAAACAAGTTATGCTAAATTTCATCAATCTATTTAATTTAATGCTTACTTTGAGATTAGTAGGAAAATTAATGAGGAGAAAATATTAAATATATACAATTTATTTGTGGCAACAGCTACCCTAACCAAAGCACAGATAAGGTCTGAAAGAAAAGGAATTAGTGTTTGATTTTAATGTCCTTCAAGGCAAGAACAGTAAGAACACTGTTTAGTTTTCTTTCGTTTCTGAAATTCTCGTAGAGCAGTTAATAAGAGTTCCTGAATATAATATTTTAAAATATTTTTAGTTTTTAAATGGGATTTTTCCAGAAAGCCCCATTTGAGTAACTCCACTGCACTGTGATCACCATCTCTCTATACTCCAAACCTCTTCTCAGAATGTGTGCTAGGCATTGTGTTATCTGAACTTCCTTTCTGTGACTGTTCTCTTCTGTAGGCTCTGCTTCCCCAATAGGTTTACAACTCCTCGAGGGTCGAAACCCCGTCTATCTCCTCACACAAGTGCCTAGCACAGTACTATCTGTACATGGAAGCATTCAAAATCTGATAATATGAAGACTCAAGGCTTTATTATATGTACATGAGAAAATCTAGGTGGAAAAGGTATTTTTTCTCCCTCAAATTAATGAAATATGGAATTTCAGAAACTTGGAGGTAAGAAGCAAAATAAAAGATTACAATATTTTTTTATCTTTGTAGTTGTGGTAAATTTGAGTTATTTTTCTAACAATGAAGGCTTTCTTGAAGGCAAATGTTCTTTCCTTAAGATCAGTGATAATTTTCAAATGTACTACAAAATTTCCCATAATCCTCAGTCACATGTCACATCTTAGCACACAAATGTATCTTTCACATAATACTGAATAACAAATAAAAAGGCTGGAAATTTATGACAATAGTCTATATACTGAATTGAACTTAGACTCTTCGTTAATATGCCATAGTATATTTTAAAAAATCAATTTTTCTTCTAATGAACCTCAAAGAATCATCATTTTGAAAGATTATGATGCAAAAGTGTTTTAAAAGATTAACAATTTTCTGTTGTTTCTATTTAGAATTTTACCACTCAATGTATATCCTTAAAGCTAGCAAACAAATGTTACTATATTATCCCAGACTGCTACTCCAGAATCAGCACACACTCAAAACCATACCAGAAATCTACTCATACAAATAAACCATGTTCTTTTTATCAGACTTATTTAAATGACTGACTCATAAAATTAGGGCACTTTGAAGAAAACTGAAATATCCTGCT